GGCACAGGCTGGTGAAAATTTCTCGCTGGACAGAGCCCGGTGCTGGGTGAGTCTCCTGACCTCTTGGCCGCTTTTGCCCAACAAAGCCAACCAGGCTGCAATTGCCCCCTTTGACAAGAAACATTGTCTTGTGGAACACCCAACAATAGGTCTTATGGGGGCTTAAATTTGCCAAAAGCTGTATGCCCCCAATCCTTGAATTGATGGCAGCTCATTGGGCAAAGACTGTCCCATTCCACATGGCCACTTTGGAATAAAGACAAAAACGTAAAGGAAATGCGATGGCCTGGCCGGAGGCCCAGCGTCCCTACTTTTTCCACGGAGGAAGCTGCTTTTCCACGCACTGCTTGGATAAAGGTGGAAGTGGAGACCACCCCACCTCTGAAGAATAAGTGAAGGCCAGGAGCCTTGGGTGTCTCGAGGCTGGAGTCTGTCTCCCCCAGTGGGCTGCCACGTCAGAACCCTGGACAGCTCCGCAGAGAGCCCAGGGAAGGCAACTAGGGGCCCCGCCTCCGCGCACTCACAGGGACGGTATCGTCACCAGGAGCCATCAGAATCAGTGCCATGGGGGACATATGGGGAGGGGGTGGCTTGGCCTCAACATAACCACTATCAGCCCCTTCCAAGCCTCCGGATAAACATATCATCTAGATAAAAGTCGTGGGCTCGCTGGACAACGGAAACCACGACCCTCAGCCTCCGATTCCATCCAGTGCCACCAAAGCTGCCACGCAAACCCCCTGTCTCGACCACCCTGGAACAGGAGGATCCCAAGGCCAGCCATGTCCATGCCACTGCCAGGGTCCAAGTAACCTGTCCCTCCTTTCAACATGACGTTACCAATCCGTAAGGGAGTCCATCCCGGCAGGGTACAAAACAACCGTTCCTCTCTCCGGACAGATGACATTTGTAGAGCAGCTGGAACACACGCAACATGATAAGAGTGAGCACCAGTGAGAATAACACGGTCTGAGTTATCGAACTGCCAAGCGTGCGCCACAGCGTGAACTCTTCGTGGGCCGAAGCGTTTGGTCGAAAAGCTTCCTGGCTTCCAGTCAAGGGGAGGCAAAGGCTGACGGGCATGTGAGGCCACTTCTCAGAATGAGGTTGCACAGCTTGGCTCTGGTCACAGCTGGGGAGGGGGCTTCACCGGCCGTGCCTGTGGGGGAGCAACGTCTCCCCACTCCTCTCTGAGTCACAGGAGGGAGGCCTGCTGGGTTCTGCTCAAAAGCTCAATCCCAGGATCCGCAGGGGATGGGGCTGAGGACCAGCCTTTCAGTCAGTCTGTGTAGACAGGTGACACTGACATGTGTCAAAACAGGACCCACGTACCTAGAAAGGGCTGGAAGTGCCTCCTGAGCATTTGGCTGATCATGTTGAAGGCGAGCGATTGCTATTCTGGCTGCCTGAACCCCAGCTCCAGGCCCTGGTAGCCAGTGGGGAGACAGTCCTGACACTCTGACACTGCGGCCCAGGGGGGAGGCAGGGCCATCCTGAAGGAGTCAGACCCACAAGGAGGGACAGAGATGGGAGGGAACCGAAGGGGCCAGAAGAAGCTAGTGTCATGGCTGTAAGTCCAAAGTCCTTGCCCTACGCTGGGTTTGAAACTCGTGGTCCTTGGACCCCTGGAGTCTCCTGCGCCAAGTTGCATCTCCTTGGCTCCTCTTCCATGGCCTATTCTTCTGGTGTCCACATCCTATGTGTCCACATCCGCCTGTGCCATCCACCCCCAGGTCCTCTCAGTTTGCCCATCAGGGTGGGAGACTTCCTGAGGTTTCAGGCCCCACTCTATAGGAAGTATGGGGATGGTGGTTTCTGAATGACGGACTATGAGTCAGGGTTCTCCAGAGAACCAACCAGTAGGATATGTTCATGGAGGGATGGGGGAGAGATTTATTTTAAGGAATTGGCTCATGCAGTTGTCCAAAATCTCCAGGGCAGGCTGGAGACCCAGGGAAGAGCCGATGCCACAGCTCGAGTCTAGGGGCAGTCTGGAGGCAGAATGCCTTCTTCCTTGGGTGACCTTGGCCTTCAACTGATAGGATGAGGCCTTCAACTGATAGGATGAGGCTCACCCACGTTATGGAGCATAATCTGCTTTATTCAAAGTCTATTGATTTAAATGCTGATCACATCTAAAAAAATACCTTAACAATAACACCTCGACTGGAGTTTGATCCACGTCTGGGCACCATGGCCTCGTCAAGTTAACACATAAAATTCACTATCGCAAGGGCATGTTAGTTTCCTAGGACTGCAGTGACAAACTACCACAAAAATGGGTAGCTTAAATGAACAAAAATTTATTCTCTCACAGTTCTGGAGGCTAGATGTCTGAAGTCAAGCTGTCAACAGGGTCGTCTTCCTCCAAAGCCTCTTCTAGCTTTTGGCAACCCCAGACGTTCCTTCGTTTGTGGCCATTTAAGTCCAATTTCCCATCCAAGTACTAACCAGGCCTGACCTTGCTTAGCTTCCGAGACTTTTTAAGTCCAATTTCTGCCTCTGTCTTCACATGGCTCTCTTTCCTGTGCGTCTGTCTGTCTCTCCTTTTCTTAAAAGGACACTGGTCGTTTTGAATTAGGGGCCACCCTAATGACCTCATCTTAGCTTGATTACGTCTGCAA